ACAGTCCAAGGTCAAACGAGTAGGCAAGATACAGGGTAAACGCTCAGAAGTGACAGCCGGGGCAAATCAAGACTTCGCAGTGAGTTGCTGTGAGTGTTTGGCTTAAATGTGTGTGTGCGTGATTCAATGCAGGTGTGTGCGTGCAATCCCCAGACCTCCTCACTGTGTTGTAACCAGTCTGTGACTGAAGCAAGGTCGGTGGGCTCGCCAGCCCAGGGGAACAAGGACGGTTGGAAGCCCAGCATGCACTTAAAGGGAGTCACCCCTGTGGCGGGTTTCATGAGGGAATTCTGAGCATATTCCGCCCAAAACAAGTACCTGCTCCAGTCTGGTTGTCGTTGCTGGCAATACGATCGAAGGAACTGGATGATCTCCTGATTCAGGCACTCTGTCTGTCCGTTGGACTGAGGATGGTAGCCAGATGTGAGGCTGATGTTTACATTGAGGTGTTTGAAGAAGGCGGTCCATACCCTTGAGGTGAACTGGGGACCCCGGTCTGAGACAATGTCCTCAGGCAGACCATAGAAACGAAACACATGATTGCACAGTAATTCAGCAGTTTCAAATGACGTGGGGAGTTTAGGCAGGGGAATTAGACGGCATGCTTTGGAAAATCGGTCTATAATCGTAAGTATAGTGGTATTACCTTGAGAGTTGGGTAGGTCGGTGATGAAGTCAATGGCGATGTGAGACCAAGGCCGTTGTGGCGTGGGCAATGGTTGTAACAGGCCTGCTGGTAGTTGTCTGGGTGATTTAGTAGTGTTGCAGGTAATGCAGTTTCGGACGTATTTGGTGGTATCAGATAACAGAGTGGGCCACCAGAATCGGTTTTGGAGCAGATGTGCAGTGGCAGCGATTCCAGGGTGTCCCGAGCTGGGCAGAGCATGTACTTGCGTCAATAGACGCTCTCGTAGTGATTCAGGAACATAGGTGAGATTGGGAGGGCTTTCAGGCGGTGGCGGATTCTGGAGATTCAAGTTGTTTGCTTCGGTCATGATGTCCCACTGTACGGGTGCGATGAGGAGGTTCTCAGGAATTATACTTTCATTGACGTCTGAGCAGCACGTCTCCTCCGCTTGACGCGAGAGAGCGTCGGCCTTGATATTCTTGGTGCCGGGTCTGTATGATACAGTAAACTGAAATCTAGTAAAGAATAACGCCCACCTTGCCTGTCTGGGGTTCAATCGTTTGGCCGAGCGTAGGTATTCGAGGTTCTTGTGATCGGTGAGGACTAAAAATGGGTGTGAGGCCCCCTCCAGCCAGTGGCGCCATTCCTCTAGTGCTAATTTCATGGTCAGAAGTTCACGGTTGCCCACGTCGTAATTTCGTTCGGCGGTGGTTAGCTTGTGTGAGAAGAATGCGCAAGGGTACATCTTAGCTGGGGATCCGTGACGTTGGGAAAGTATCGCACCGACCCCAGTGTTAGAGGCGTCGACCTCGACAACGAATGGGCGTTCTGGATCAGGATGTCGGAGGATAGGTGCTGAAGTAAACCGAGTCCTTAGTTCATCGAATGCCTGTTGTGATTCCGAAGACCAGGTCAATTTAGTGGGGTGACGTTTATCTCGCTTAGTCATGGCGGTCAAAGGAGCGGCGATCGAACTGAAGTTCCTGATAAATCGCCTTTAGAAGTTCGCAAACCCCAGGAAGCGCTGTAACTCCTTGACTGTCTGGGTAAGCGGCCATTCCAGAACTCCCCTGACCTTCCTCTCATCCATCGCTTCCCCCTCCTGGCTGATCACATACCCCAGAAAAGTTGTGCTTCTCTGATGGAACTCGCATTTCTCCGCTTTAGCGTAGAGTTGATACTGAATGAGGCGCTTTAGTACATTGAGGGACTGTTTGCCAGTCCGAAGGGCATAACCCGGTATTCGTAGTGCCCACTAGTGGTGGAAAATGCTGTTTTCCATTCGTCCCCCTCTCGAATGCGGACTAAGTTGTAAGCATTGCGTAGATCCAACTTGGTGTAGTATTTGGCCTGGCGGAGCTGTTCTAGCGCTGCGGGAACCAGTGGTAGAGGATAACGAAACTTAACAGTAATGTCATTAAGGCCACGGTAATCAATGCAGGGCCGCAACCCTCCGTCCTTTTTCTTTACAAACAAGAACCCCGCCGAGGAAGGAGAAGTCGAGGGTCGAATAAATCCTTTAGCCAGTTCCTCCTCGATATAGGCTTTCATAGCTTCTGATTCAGGTTGTGATAGTGGAAAGATCCTCCCCTTTGGAGGGGTGGCGCCAGGTATCAGATCTATGGTGCAATCGACGGATCGGTGAGTGGTGGTGAGGAGGAGGCGGTACGGAAGCCTCCTCTGTAACACTACCTACATTTGTATGTTTTTCAATCACTACCGCTTCCCCCTCCCCCAAAATTTTTTCTAAGAATAAGAAAACCTCTCTCTAATTTTATTTGGAACAACAGGAAGCCAAGACTGAGACTTTCTTTACTATATCTGGCTTATGAAAGGGGAGGGCTCCAACTACCTAATTTATTTAGGTATTATTGGGCTGCTCAGTTGAGGGCTGCATTGTTCTGGTTCTCTAGTGAAGCCGCTGTGCCTTAATTACACGTTGAAAAATTGGCCACAAAAGGCTTGACACGTCACAGCTTTTTATATTCAGCACCCCTTAAAGAACTAAAAAAAAAAGACAGATAATCCATTTGAAAAAAATACTATTGTAATCTGGTACGAAGCCCATAAATATCTTGAAGACCTCCCAGTGCTTTCCCGTTTTTCTCCTATCTGGGGAAATGATCATTTCAGCCCAGCTAAAAAAGGATATGGGGTTCAAATTGTGGATGAATAAGGGCATGATTAGATTGAAAGATTTGTAGGAAGATAATATATTAATGTCATTTGATAATCTTGTAACGAAATTTCACATACCTCAGAAACACTTTTTTAAGTATTTGCAACTCAGAAGTTTTATTTTTACAAGTTTAAAGAATTCTACATAACTCCCCCCAATGTCGATATTGGAAACATTCACATTGCAAGATTGCTACATTAAAGGACGGATTACCCAATTATATAACATACTAAGAGAAAATCATAAAAAAATCTCTGAAAATAAAAGACAAGCATGGATCCAAGATATAAATATGGATATTTCATTAGATGACTGGGATACAATTTGTTTAAATGCACAAACACAAACTTTGAACTCTCGGTTGAGACTCTTACAATATAATTGGGTAATGAGAACTTATATAACCCCTGTAAGATTAAATAAATTTAACCCTAATATCCCTGATCTGTGTTTTAAATGCAATAAGTTTCAAGGTACATTTTTCCATTGTGTGTGGGAATGTGAGGAGGTGCAGAAGTTTTGGGTTGGGGTGACTCAATATGTTTCTCAATTTACTTCCTCTCAATTCCTCTAAGTCCTGTATTATGTGTATTGAGTATGTATGAAGACGATTGCTCTTTGTCCATTAAAGAAAGAAAGTTGGTGGATTTGTGTCTATTACAAGCAAGACGTTCTATTGCCCTGTGCTGGAAAAATACCAATTGCCCTTCCATTGGACTATGGCTGAAAAACTTAATAACATGTTTGGCTCTTGAAAAACTTACATATGTAATAAGAAAGAAGTCCTGTATTATGTGTATTGAGTATGTATGAAGACGATTGCTCTTTGTCCATTAAAGAAAGAAAGTTGGTGGATTTGTGTCTATTACAAGCAAGACGTTCTATTGCCCTGTGCTGGAAAAATACCAATTGCCCTTCCATTGGACTATGACTGAAAAACGTAATAACATGTTTGGCTCTTGAAAAAAGTTACATATGTAATAAGAAAGAAACCCTTTGAATTTTTTTATATCTGGGAGGTGTTTTTGAACTTTGTTAAAAATGGAGATATTGAAGATGCTTTAGATGTGTGAAGTTATGGATTGTTTTTATCTATATTTTATTTAATTTGTTTATTTATTTTTATTTAAAAAATTTTTAACCTTGTCTGGGGTAAGTTGTGGGGAAGGATGTTGTGTTTTTTGGAAAAACTTTGTAAAAACTCAATAAAGATATGTTATACAATATTGTGAAATGTTTTTACATTTTAAAATAAATGTTCTATTTGAATTTATTTTTAAAATTAATGTATTAGCCAATTCACCAGTCTTCAGTGTCACATGATCCTTCAGAAATTATTCTAATATTCTGATTCTCTGCTTAAGAAACATTTATTCTTATGTAATTAATAATCTGTAATTAAATCATTTATTATTCTTGTTGAAAACAGTTGTATACATTTTTTTTCAGGATTATTTGATGAATAGATAATTCAAAATAACAACAATTATCTAAAATGGAAAGCTTAACATTATACACTACCATTAAAACGTTTGGGGTATATATATATATATATATATATATATATATATATTATTCAAAAAAATGTAAAAAAAAGAAAAAAAAAGAAAACACATTTAATCAAAGATGTAAACATTTCTAGCAAATATAAAAACTGCTAAAACAAATTATGTATTTTCTTCCTCTAAATCCACACAAAAATTCAATCAACTTTGATATTAATGATCTAACTACCATTTTATGACAATTCTAAGTAATGCTGTTGCAAACTTTGTCTCGTGGGCTATTTTTATCCTGCAACAGATTAGCCATTTTCTACAGAAAAAGAAATTGATGTTGGCATAAGCTGCTCGATATAAGTCTCGTTGGCTTGGGTTTTGTTCACAGCACAAGGGCCCATCTGAAATAAACTAATCCATCACTTTGACAGCACCACTATAATGTGGAATTGACTTATGAATGTAATGTTCTCCCTCTCTCACTCACTTCTTCTATTTTCCTTATATCTGTCATTCTTTTACTGTGAATCACTTTTCCTCTCTCAAAGGTGAATTAATTTTTCTGTCTCTCACAGTACAGCTTTTTTGTCCTATTTCAAATGAAAATCTACAGACATGTTCCTGCATGTGGAAAAGCATGTTTGACATGTTCAATAAACCCTGGTTGCTTAAAGATATACCGTCTGTGTCTCAGAGCCAAGCCATGAGGATAGTGCAGACCGTGGGTCAGGCGTTTGAAGTGTGCCATAAACAGAGTCTAGACAATGCTGACGGTGAGAAAACACTGACCTTAACTTGCAATTCATTTTATCAAACATGAACCACATTTCATCTCAAGTTTCAATGCTTAGCATTTTTATAGGAGGCAAATTAAAATAATTAAAATCAGTCTTCAAAATCTTTATTACCTTTATCACAGTTTCATAGCAACTTAGATTTGCTTTTTGTATAAGAAAATATGGTCTGTGCACTGAAAAATAAATGATACTTGGACCAACTTAAAAATAATTGGTTAATTCGTCAAATTTGTTACAGCCAAACTTATTAGCTTTTCTCAAATTATAGTTATGGTTTGGTTCAAATCTTAAATATTGACGTAATATTAATAACAACATATGTCTTGTCCCAAAGACAAAAACATTCACACAAAGTAAAAAGTTTATTTCATTATAAAAACTATACTTAATATACTCAATATTTGTTTTATACTTCAGACAAAATGTTACATAAGATAAAACCAAAAACATTTTGTTAGTCATTGTTTCAACCATTATTTTTGGATGATTGGATGAGACCAATATAAAAATAAACTTTAAAATATAGCTGCAAGCACCAATTAAGGGGCCAAACACAACAGAGGTAAAATGAAAAGCTAAGAAGCTGTTTTTAATTACTCAGTAAAGACCAGGGTTCTCCAACTCAGCCCCTGGAGAGCTACCTTCCTGCAGACTTAAGTTCCAACCCTGCTTCAATAAACCTGTCTGTAATTAAGTAGCCCTGAAGACCTTGATTAGCTGGTTCAGGTGTGTTTGATTAGGGTTAAAGCAGAACTCTGCTGTTACTGGGCGAACGAGACATGAGACGTGTGGATCCATGTGCAAGGCTTTATTTACAAAGGCGTGGTCAATAAACAGGCAAGGGTCTGACAACACAGGTATATCACAGGCAAGACAAAGAATATTCCTAGGGCTAGCGTGGGTCTTCGATCGGCGAACAGTATCCAGAGGGCTTGACAAGAGGGGTAATCCAATAACACGAGCAATAGTCCAGGTGAGGTGCAAACACAGTCCGAAACAGCAAGACAAAGGGGTAATCCAAGAAACACAGGCAGAAGGTCAGGAAACAGACAACAAGGCAACACGAAGTGGCTAGACCAGTGATGGGCAAACTTGGCCCTTCCAGGCCACTTTCCTGCAGAGATTTGGTCCAACCCTGATAAAACTCACCTGCCTGTAGCTTTCTAGTAGTCTTGAAGACAATGATTAGCTGGTTCAGGTGTGTTTGATTAGAGTTGGAGCTAAACTCTGAAGGAAAGTGACCTGGAAGGGCCAGTTAGTCCTGGGCTAGACTAAGACTAGAACTAGGACCGGGAACTAGGAATGGCTCCGTAATGCAGCTATCGCTAGAAGAGTGATATGCGCTAAACAATACTCGGCTGTGAGAGAGAGGAAGTCCATGGCTTATGTAGGGTGTGTGATTGGCAGCAGCTGTGTGTGTAATCAGTGCAACAGTTTGTGTAGTGTGAGAGTCAATGTAACGGAAGGGTGACCTCTGGTGGCAATTGGACAGAAGTCCATGGACAGGATTCGTGACATCTGCAGTATGGTAGCTCTCCAGGAGCAGGGTTGGAGACCCCTGTTAAATAAATTTTTTGATACAGCATTTTACTACAAAACTCAAAATGGCCAAAGCCCAGAAAGGCAGACTTTAAAAAAACAAGTACTATTTGATTCGGTACATCATTCCGTTCAGAAATGACCATTTTTTTTATATCTTTTGACCAGTAGGTGGCACTGTACCGAAACTACTCATTTTCCCTCAGGTCATGCTTGTTATAACACATACCAAATTTGGTCAGAATCTGCTTAAGCGTTGCGTAGATATAGCCTCATGTCCATTTTTGCACTAACTGTGTCAAATTCGTTATCGCGCTTTACGAAAACGGTTTGGTATATCAAAAAGCTTTTTATAACTTTTTACCATAATGCTCTGAAGATGATCTGAGCCAATTTTGGTTTAAAATTGGACAAACTGTCTAGGTTCTAAAAAGTAGATTTTTCAGAAAATTCAAAATTGCGAAAAATCTTGACCCACAGAAATGTAAATCTTGGTACGCATTCGACTCCGTATGAGCCAAGGAATCAGATGAAAATTTATTTTTCTTTTAGACCTTACGGTTCAAAAGTTATTCGCAGAAACATTAGTGCAAATTTGGCCTGTTGGTGGCGCTACAGAGTTTGAGTTAGAGACTCCAAATTTGCTGGGGTTAATGATGAGACTGCCCTCTATCTCTGTGCCAAATTTCATAATTTTCCCGCAAACGGTTCTATAAGATTCATAAGATTCATAAAAATACGCTTAAGCATTTGTAAAATGCAGTATTTTACTACAAAATTCAAAATGGTCCACGTTCAAAATGGCTGGCATAGGAAAATTGGGTATCATTTCATTTGGTATGCCGCTCTGAATCTAACGAGACCAAACTTAAGACTTTTGGTCAAACTGTTCAGAAATTATAAACAAAAAGGTCAATTTTTTATACATTTTGACCAGTGGGTGGAGCTGTTCCGAAACTACTCATGTGCCTTCAGGTCATGCTTGGTATAACATGTACCAAGTTTGGTCAGAATCCAAGTGTTGTATCCAAGATATATCCTCATGTCCATTTTTGCGCAAATTTTGTCAAATTTTGTTAACATGCTTTACAAGAACGGTTTGGTCTATCAGAAATCTTTTGATAACTTTTTGCCAGCATTGTCTGAAGATGATCTGAGCCAATTTTGGTGAAAATCAGACAAACCGTCTAGGACGAGTTAAAAAAAAATTCAAAATTGCGTAAAATCTTGACTCAGAAAAAAAATCAGGGAGAAAAAAAAATTATTTTGCTTCTAGACCTTATGGTTCAAAAGTTATTAGCAGAAATATGACTGGAAATGTGGCCTATTGGTGGCACTAGAGAGTTTGAGATGGAGACTCCAAATTTGCCAAGGTTAATATTGAGACTGTCCTCTATCTGTGTACCAAATTTCATAACTTTCCCGCAAGCGGTTCTATGGGCTGCCATACACTTCCTGAGCGAAAGAAGAAGAAGAAAACTAACAGATACAATAGGTGTCTATGCGCTTTCAGTGCTTGGCCCCTAATGACACAGTCATTTCATTTTTTACAGAGCGGAGATATGCTTTATGACACCAGTAAATAAAATTTGTTATGTTTGATGATGTCAAAATAGCTATATAGATCTATCTAAATATATTTTATACAATTATTTATTCCTATGCTTGGTTTTAAAAGGTTCCTTTTCAAGTACTGTATTTCTTTGACTTGGACTAAAATAAGTTGTTAACATAAATCAATAATTTGTATTGTTGTGAACTAGCAACAGACTCAATCTGTACCTGTGAAACTGGACTTTGATTATTTTGTATTCTAAATCATGTGATTAATCTGAATTGGCAGTATGGCTTGTGAAAGGTGAGGAGGAGAGAAGCAAAGATGAGACTTCAGTTGCTGGCGGCACCACTGAGAGATCAGGCAATGCTGGGCTGGAGAAAGATGAAAAGGTAAAGTCTTCTGCCTGAATATAAAGTTTAGCAGAAAATCTGAAAGAAATGTGTTTGCAGTTGACTTAATTTTTCCTCATCAATTAGATATTTTTATATTGACTCAATAAAATGTTTACCAATAGAAAGCCTTGCTTTTTTAGAAGAAATTGGAAGGCAGAAGAGATCGCAGGTGTTGTCTTTTTAAATATAGCTCGAGTTTTGCCTGCTTTCTGTTATTTATAGATGCTACAGTTTGCTAATCCTACATGGTTTATAGGGCAGAAATTGGGCCATGATCACAAGTAGGGCTAAAAGATCAATGATTACCAGCCAAGTTTACTTCAAGTTGTGTTTAATTCTTTGAAATCTTGTAATAACACTTAGTCAAATTCATTAAATTTTTTTGAAAACAAACTTAGATAAATGTACAGTAGTTTAAAATGTCTCGTTTGATAACATGCAAACTTCTTCCAGTTATGATGGGGCTTATTTATGAATTATATATTTAAGGAAACACATTTTAGATGCTTCTAGAACTTTAGCTTGACTCTAATGACTAAGATATAAAAGCTGTCCATGCTGACACATGTTAGATCACTGGGGAGTTTTTAGGAATTAGGCTTTCAGAGAGGTTAAAGCTTTCTTTGGTTTACAAAATGATTTGCTTTGATACAGCTGAAGTTTTGTGTTCTGTGATCTGTTCTGTAAATCTGCTGATGTTTTCAGACTTACGGCAATCACAGGAGCAAACGTATGAGACCAGTGTTTAGCATTTTGTGAATTTCCTTTATTCCTGAGTTTCATGTGATACTGTATTTTTCACTGTAAACAAATTCGGTTTGTGAGTGGATTTTGTGTTCTCTCTGTCAAATTAAACTCACTTTAGAGTCTGTAGCCTAGTAATATTGAGGCAGATGATTTTAGGTTCAGACTCATTGAAGAGTTATTCATAAACTAGTGTGATCTTAAAAGTCCCCCTGCAGTCACTAATCTTATCCCTTCAAACGTATCTTTGAATCAAAAATACATATCTATTTTTTTTTCCTGTGAAAATAATTTCTTAAAATGGCTTGCATGTAACTCTACAACTTTACCTCATTAAGTATACGCTGATCCATGAGTATGTTAATGAATCCCCACCTCTACTCAATCACACCACCTTGTATCTACTACTCTTTCATTCAGTTAACATCATGCTGCCTTTATAGTCACTAAAAAGCTGTCACTCATGTTGTCACTTACAAAGTTCTGTTATAATCAGTGGAGCCATAGGCGCGGGAAGTGGGGGTGCTGAGGGTGCTGCAGCACTCTCTGTTATTTTTTTCTGTGGGCAACTGTTTAACTGTTGTGAATAAAAAAAAATCGGAGTGTCTATTTACACTAAGTGCAAATAGCCCACCTTGTTGGCAGAGGCTATTTACACGAACTCCACCCACCAACGTGTGATTGGGCTAGTCGCAGAACTGCGCACTGAACAAAACTTTGCCATTTTGAGCAATGAGTGGATTCTGAGTAACTTAAGGAGAAAATGTTCAGCAATGTGTTGACTGATGAATTTGCACATGGTTTATCTTTAAGCATATTAAAAACACCAGACAGACATGTATAAAAAAAGGGGGACATGGTGTTTGCATATAATTGTGTCTTAGCAGTGTGTGGACACAACCATCCTACAATGATAAAAATCCATTCACTCCTTTTTTTAATCCCCAAAAAACCTAAAGTCTCAGTTATCACGTTCCTCCCTGTTTTTTTTCTGTGGGCAACAGTTTAACTGTTGGGAATAAAAAAAAAATCGTTGGCAAAGGCTATTACGCTAACTCCATCCACCAACGTGTGATTGGGCTAGTCAACATTACAAAAGACGGTCACTAATTGTCAGATTCAGTGGCGCAGATGGTAAAGCATGTATCATATTTCTTTTTACGCAATCAACCCGGGTTCGAATCTGCCTTTTGGCGAACTTTTTTTCTCCCTTTTCAAATTTCAAATCACACCAGAAAAGCATTTATTTTTAATAAAAATGAAGAAAATAATCAAAAAGTTGAAAATAAAGTATCGGGTAGGGTTAGGTGTAGGGAGGGCTTTTGTCCCAATAAGCTCCTTTTTTTAATCCCCAAAAAACCTAAAGTCTCAGTTATCAAGCCGTTTTGTTTTTCTGAGCAGTATGACGTCATACTGCTTAGGCCCCGCCCACGACCACTGACGGACTGTCCCGTATTAGCATATTTCCGCCCTCAGCCAGTTGTATGCTGTCCACCATTTTCTCATCACTAAAAAATACTGCTATTTTCACTTAGTGTAAATAGCATATCACAAAAAATACTGCTATTTTCACTCAAATAGCCTCTATCGCCTCTATCCTTTGTAAAGAAATATGTAGCTTTGGAGTCGCTGCTGTGACGCTGTACAAACGCTTCCAGTGTGAATACTCCTGGGAGTCTGACGATGTGACACCATTTTCTCCGCGCTCAAGCAGCTGTAGCAACAACAATGTCTCCTAAGCAATGCAGGTGTTTTGTAGTTGGATGTAAAAGTGAACATAAGTCCGGTTTCACACCGCAAGTGTGAGCAGCGCATATTTTTTTGTCGTGTATGTTAACAAATCATTCACACCGGGAGCGAAGGTTTCGGCACAGAGTCTATTTTTGCTGCACTGCTCCCGCAAACTTTCAAGTTTATAACTGACCAACTTCTAAAAACAAATTCATAGGCATATTTGTAAAGAAATATGTAGCTTTGGAGTCGCTGCTGTGACGCTGTACAAACGCTTCCAGTGTGAATACTCCTGGGAGTCTGACGATGTGAAGTTGACGCGAAGCTCAAGCTTGCGGTGTGAAACAGGCATAAGAGACTTAATTTTCTCCCGGCATTAGAGTCACTGAGGACACAGTGGATCAGTTTTGTTTTTGATGGTAACGCCCCACCGAATACACAAAAAAAAGAAGAGAGGGGTGGGGTGAGCAGTAGCTCATTATCATATAAAGAGACATGCACCGAAACGGGTCACTGTGAACAGAACTGTTTTTGACGAGGTAAAAAGGGTGTCGTTTTACATGACCATTGAGGAATTTTAAGTATGTTACAGACATTTCATGAAGACCCTAAAGAATCATACCAACTTGTGGAAAATGGGCATCCGATGTCCTCTTTAAAAACTTGATTTGCATCACAGGGGGTGTCACGATGGGCCAAGGACAAAGCGAGGCAAGTATCTAAATGCAGCAGTTATTTAATGTACACTCAAAGAAAATCTAGAAAAGCAGAAATACACAACAACGAATAAATACAAAAACCCACACAACAGGATGTATAGACAACGACCGAAAAAACACAGGGGTATAAATACACAAGGTAACAAGAGGCTAATGAGGAACAGGTGAGGCTAAATGAATTACCATGGAAACAAACGAAGGTGACTATAGCTGTGTCTGAAATCGCTCACTCATTCACTAATCCCTATATAGTGTATGGCAGTTGAGTGCACTATATCAGAAAGGAGTGAACCAAATAATGGCTGCGTTCCACTCCACTTTTAGACTTGCACTCGCGAACTTCCCTAAGCACTTCCCCTCGGGGGAATCCCCGCTGCCGTTTTGAAGTGCATTCCACTTCGTGAAGTGGACGAGGGAAGTTTATATGGGCAGACCCTCGACCCCTCGATTTTGACCGAGGGAGCGAGTCTGCTTCATATGCACACTTAAGGCCGCTCTATAGACCACAATGCAACACGACTACGTCATCGCAGATCGTGTTTAATTTATCCCCAACCCAAACAACTCTATAATATATAAATGATTTTTTTTACATTTATAACAGCCCAAGCATACCTATGTACATATAGAATGCTGCACCAAACAAATTCGTAAGGGGAAAAATGTAAACAATAAACCAACTACATAGTGGATTCTAAGTGATCAAGGGCTTAGGACGTTCCAATTCAGCCCATTTCAAGGGTTCCGCCACTCATGCAACGTAATCAATGACGTACATCCGAGTAGCCTAAACGAGACAGAGGGAAGTTAGCGAGTGAAGGGCATAAAAAAATGGACTGGAACGCAGCCAAAGCTTTCGGACCTAGTCAATAGTATCCAGCTGCAGACCCGCAGCACCAGCAGTTTCAGAACCGCAGCCACAGAACCGGAAGTGAGGGGCGGAGCCCTAAACGAGACAGAGGGAAGTTAGCGAGTGAAGGGCATAAAAAAATGGACTGGAACGCAGCCAAAGTGAACAAATTTGGACACGAACGTATATACTGCATGTCAGAGAGCTGGAGCTGTCGCAGAAACATCTTCGTCAATTATGTACATTTATATTACATGTACCTTATTTTAGAAAGTACTATTAATAACAATAACATTCACAATGACTTCATATTGTAATTATACATACCTCCGCGCCAGCTTTGTAATTTCATCGAACCTAACTTGTTTTGTAATGCATAATATGTTCATAATTAAATACTATTAAAATACTGGCAACAAAAATAAACACATATTACACATACACATATAACACATACATTTTATGTATTTATTATTTTTAGTATCTTGAAACTCTCACGAGCAGCGTCTTGTGCTCAGATAAGATGACAGTGGTCGTAGAGTGCCCCCAGACAACTGTTAATTTTACTTAAGGATGAATACGCCACATATAGGTAATTAACGAATATTTTTTTAAATTATCCACCAAATTATCATCACAAATCATCATCACATCTATCATCTCTTGTAAGTTAACAATGCCACCTCAGTAAATTAGTAAAACATTAATCTGAGTTAATGCCTAAATAATATTTTTTATTTTAATAATGTGTGAAATAACCGTTAAAGCAGAAATAATAACGATGTAAACTGCATCTCTCATTCAAACTTGCTCACTCCCACTATCTCTTCCAGCTCGTCTGTCCTCTCCGCACTGGATTATGGGAAATAGTGCTTCAGTGAGTGTACATTGGTTGTAAACTCGAAATCTGAGAGGATTGTGGGTAAAAAGTAGTGAACAAATGTAGGGAATGATCTCGTTCACGCAGAATTCAGCCGACACCCAATATAGTGCACTATATAGGTGATAGGGAGCTGTTTCGGACACAGCTTATGAAGACAAACAAGGCAAATGTGGAAACATGTTTGTGACAGCAGGAAACAGACTGTTTCAAACTGCATGACATTCTGTGGTACAATGCAGTTTTAAGGAGAAAATATTCAATGGTGTTGAGTGATGAATTTGCACATAGTTTAAGTGTATTAAAAACACCAGACAGACATGTAAGCAACGTTAAAAACTTTCACCACAGGTGTTTTTAAATAAGACTCTGCAGGTCACTCCAGGAAGGATTGTCACTGTTATAAATGTATTGTGAGTGCTAAGACCATCTTAAAGTTGATTTGTTGGTTAAGGTAATAAACAGCGTGTGTCTCCTACTTTCTCCATGCAGGTGTGTGAAGAGCCGGTGCTGGTGAAGGAGTCGTCCAGGCTAGCGTCTCCTCTTTCCAGTCCTCTATCCATGAGCCATCAGGTGCAGCTCCTGCAGAGGCAGTTACAGCAGCAGGAACAGAGGAGTCAAGCCGCCTCCGCACAGGTCACATCACACGTCTGATCGCTTTGTCATGCTGGTTGTATTGACATATAACATACCTGTGGCACTGCTTTTGTTTTGTGAATTTCTCAGTTATGAAACTACTATTAGTAGGGATACACATATTTATTTATTTATTTTCTGGCCAATACGATAAGCCAATAAATCATTTTCATTATTATCATTAAAAGGACAGTATTCAAATGTATTCAGTATTCAATTCTATTTTGTCTAAATAAATTAAAACTAAAATGCAAAAAAAATTCATTCATTCAAAGTCATTCATTTTAAAAGCTACAAGTGAATCTAGATATAACAACATTATAGTGTAAATAATACATATTCACTTTTAAATTTGATACCCAAAATTCACCCTATCTATTTTGCATGTTATAGATCTTTTTGTTAACGATTCGTCCCATGCATATGTTTCAATTTTTGTTAAAACTTTTTAACCATATAATTTTCAATTAAAACTATCTGGTGATGTATGTCAGACTTCTCCAATCATTTAGTCTGATTAAAGTCCTCACTTGCAAGCTCATGTTGATCAGTGTTGCCAAGTCCGCGGTTTTCCCGCGGAATCGGGCTACTTTAACACTGTTGCCGCGGGTTGTTTTTCAAGTCCACGGGTTGAAGCGACTCCAATAACATGATATTTATCTCCTGGAATGCGAATTTTAGCAAGGGAACCCCACCAAAAAACATGTATTTTACCCCCCGGAACGCGATTTTTAACTGGGGACCCCCTCGAAACGCGATTGGGCTAGTTTTGGGCTAGTTTTGAGTAGCGATTGGGCAACCCTGATGTTGATCTACCTGTACATCTACCTAAAGGTGTTATTAAATTAATAATAGGGGACACCCTGGACTGGTGGCCAGTTCATTGAACAACATATATTTATATAATTTAAATGAATACATAATTATATAATTTATATAATTATTTATATATAAATTACTTATATTTATATCATTTAATTAATATATTTTAATAGACCTGTACGTCATCTTACATTTCATACAGATGACTGTTGACAAACATAATGCAGGCAGGGCAACAACTAGCATGATGTAGTCCATAAATGCTGTTATGTGCCTTTAAAATTCAAGACATTTGGGGCAAAAAATGTCCCTGTATGATTTTATGTCTCATTTATATCACATGGTAAGAGATATCACAGCGAGAACAATATCAAATGAGTGTTGTTTTTGAGACATTTACCGCCACCTACTGGCAGTTTTAGTTTCTTATTTAGATTGTCATTTCATCAAAAAAACAAAAAAAGAATAAACATTAGTTTGCCCAAAAATGAAAATTCTGTCATAATTTACTCGCCTTCTTGTTGTTTCAGTCCTGTATGACTTAATTTCTAACATAATTTATGTTAGGCCGTTGTAAATGTTTATGTGTAATTAATTTTATTTTAAATCAAATAAAAACATTCTTTCTAAAGCTACTTTTTGTAATATCTACTTGATACTTTAAATTATCTTTTGGGGGTATTTTCACAGCCAAATGTGATTTGCGATTACTTAGATGAATTAATCGCCACATCATGCAATTACTTAGATAAAACAATTTTAATCGATTGACAGCCCTAATATATATTAGATATGGATACATTTAAAAATCTCTAATATTGTCTGATAACCAACATGAATGATACCTCTGACTGTCCTGCTTGATGTACTCGTGGATGATAAAATGGGCAAATAAAACCCAAGGGGGAGCACAATATCATAGATACTTGATGGCGGGCTTTTTTAACATGAGCTAACAAGTAACCACTCTAAACACCTCAGCAACCCTATATCAATGCCTTAGCAGTCCCCAGAATAACCTAGCATCATGGCAGCAGGTTTTTTGCATGCAAACACCACTCATATTTTCTTAGTTGTTGTTGTTGTGTAGGTGGTTCTGCTTCAGCAGCAGGTGTCGGTGGAGACCAGCGCCAGGACCGAAGCTCAGGCTAGAGTCCAGCAGCTCCTGCAGCAGAACACTGAACTCCTGCAGCATCTCACACTGCTGGTCAAACACGTCCAAGAGCTGGAGCTCCGCACTCAACCACACAAAAACTCCCCCTGTAAGTCTCAAGTCTCAAGATGTGTGCAATCAAGAGATTTTCATCTTTGTGACCTCCACATGTGCAAGGCAAAAGAGTCATTTTGCTTGTTTAAAAAAATGTTAACCCTAAAATTTAAATCCTGTCATTTACTCATCCTTATGTTGTTCCAAGACTTTCGTGTCTTTCCTTTTGCCACTGATCACAAAAGAAGACATTTTGAAGAATGTTCATGCTGCTCTTTTCCAAATAATGAAAGAGAACCGTCTTTACAAGCACCATAAAATTAGTCCCAGGACCAGCTTGAACTCATTAGTATTTGTAGGTATTGATTTGTAATATTTACACATATTTACACACATTACACATTGTCTATGTTTGGATATACACTGAAACATGCAATATAAATGTACCAACAGTATCTAAAAGGTAAAAAGTTGTTTTTTTATTTATGTATATAGAGTTTTAGTATTGCAAATGTATTTACAAATCCAATTATAAATATTTTTTGTAGTTAGGTTTTACTTTTA